AAAATTATTATCAATTTTTTTCTATATATATATATATAAAACTCTATAAATTCTTGAAAAACTACTATTTATTTATTATTTATTTATTTTCATAATTATATAAGGATAAGTATAAATAATATTTATATTATACAGAAAAATAAAACATGTAAAATAGTTTAACAATAAATTAATAAAATATCTAAATTTGATAACATTTCGAAATAATTTAAAATTTGTAACGTATATTCATAATATACAGATATATCTTTGGAAAGAATCTATTTAGATTAAATTATACAATAATACATATATATATATATATTATTATTTATAACCGATTAATATGAGTCAATGTAATAACAAATATTTGAAAATGTAATATCGTTAAAAATATAAAAAAATTATGTTACTAGTTTCTAGTTTCAGTTTGATCAAGTATCTGAAACCGAGAAATGATTGTGATAGAAAATATTGCCGTATATTTATATCTACATATGTCAAGATCGAGAGTATCGGTAGAAAAGAGCAAAAGCACGAGAGAAATAAAATGACCATACTTTCACTGTTTCACTATGGCAATGGCATTGTCCCTGGTGGCAGGACTTGAGATAACGACATGCATGTAGAATAAGAATACCATCTTGTACATATGACGCACAACTATTGCAAGTTAAAGCAAAAACACTTTCTTCTTTTTTTTCTTTTGATTTTATCCATTCTTGTGAATAGACCAAATTATTCTGAATATTATTTTGAAAATAATGAAGTTCCTCCATTTAAATGTACGATAAATAAACTTTTAAATAACTATTTTAATTATATGAAAAATTTTCTTTTATTTTCTAATAATTTTCTATTATTGTCTAAATTTTTATGATTTATTTTAAATAATATTTTAATGTTAATATATTTTTTAAACATTTCTTTAAAATTTCCTATTTTATATATAAATTTTTCATTGATTTTTATATGCTTTTTTAAGCTCTAAAATACTTTTGCATTTTTTATTTTTAAATATCAAAAAAATTCTAATATAATTTGATGAAATTGTCGAAGATTTTAATTTTCAAAGTTATTATTTGATTACGCATTTTTTTCCAAAATCAAGAAAGCTATTAGGAAAGAAACTTTATATGAAACTTTGACAGTTACAGATAGTTAATAGTTGCTAGACAAGCTTTCTTCTGTGACTTTCCATTGCAATAACAGAATGAGTTTAATAATCATTTCATCATTTATTATTTATTAATTATATATTTCTTTGTTTATTATTTCTGTTTTCTGAATTATGGATATTTCAAGTTGGTTTATAACATTTATGGTTTAATAAAAAGCCATATAATCGTTATATCATAATATATTAGATTATATTTAATAAAATTCATTATATTACAATT